TCCAATCTACCGCCCCTTTCCTGGTGCCGCCCCTACCACGTGGCCCAGCCGCTGTCAAAGTAAGTCAGATTGCATGTAGCCTTGGCTTACACTTTGCACGTGAGCCGGCGCCCTGCCTCTCCTCCCCCCCCTCCCTCTCTTTCGTTTCTGCCCGCCACCTTCGGCTCCGCCCAACCGGGCGGGGCGGGCACCGCGGGATAAAAATAAATCCACTCCAAAAATTATTACCTTGGGTGTTGGAATGTACAGGCGAAAGGAATTACCCTCGAACCCTTTCTACTTTCGACTCTTTGGAGGAAAATTTATCCTCGGAGCGTGCAGCATGCCCTAGGAGCCGCATGGCGCTGGCTGACGGAGTATGATCTGCACTGGAAAAACACAAGTGAGGAATCAACACCCTTCTCTTCTTGCTGTTAATGCCTTTCGTGCCTTTACAGAGGCACTAACGGATTCGCACCCCTGGAAAGGCATAAAAATGCCCCAACGGTGCTAAATTTTAGTGCCTCTGGGGACTTTTGTGCCTTTCTAAAGGCATTAAAATTTAGCACCTTGAAAAGGTACTAAGTCCTACCTTTGTTTTTCCAGTGTGGACTCAGACGAGGGAGTAGTACGTATTACCCACTGAAAACAACAGTAAGAAGGAGAAACTTATTAAAAACTCACAACAAAAATTACACATTGACATGTTTAAGTATAAAATAAAACTCACAGTCCAATATTGACCAATTTTCTTTAAATGATTTGCACTGGTACTTTTAGTCAGTCCTTCCTTACAAAGGCAACAATAACAATTAACGTCCTCTGCTTGTTTTTTGGCAACACTTTTCGACAGGAAATTCATCCACTTACCAAAATTTAAATGCGCCATTCTTTTTACACACAGGAAATATCCAATATCCTGCCGAACGAAACACTGACTACAACACACAGGCAGGAAGGGTGCATGAGACAAGCAGCACAGTCATCTCTGGCTCTGTGACACGCAGACGCGCCCCATGTTGGGCCAGGGATGCACACACAAACCGCACACGCCTTTTGCTCCTCTCTCTGTCTCTCTCTATCTCTCTCTCTTTCTATCTCTCTGCATGCTGGTGTGTTTGTGCGTAAGATAGAGAAGGACCGAGAGAGAGAGAGAGAGACAGCGGCGCGCGGTGTGCCTCCGCTGCCGTTCTCTGCCGCCACCCCTTCCCCCTCCCGGCCGGTCGCGGGCGGGCGGCTCAGTTGCCGGCGAGCCTCGGCCACGATCACACCCACCAGGACTCCCGGTGCCGGGCGGAGCGGAGCCGACGCAGCCGCGGGCCGCGGTGGCAGCCAGGACGCGCGAACTCGAGATCGCGACCCGCGAGGCGCAGCGGCGCAGCGCGGAGCCTCCGTGTGTGCGGAGCGCGTGTGTGCGTGTGCGACTGTGTACGTTTATGGGACGATCCGGCCTGAAAAAAAAACCGCCAAAAAAACTATTTTTAAAAAATAAACAAAGCACCTATGTGAAAAGCTACGAAGCGGAAAGCGGACTGTTTAGGAAGACAGTGGAAGTGATTGCATTCGACACGGACTATTCGTGCAAAGTGTACCACTGCCCCTCTTCTTGGGGTCGCTGAGCTGAGCCGGAGGCAACGGCGCAGCGATATTCGCCTGGCGCGCCCCCGCGTCCCGCCCTCTGCGCGGGACGACGACGTCTCGAGTTCCGGCCGCCGCAGTCTCTTTGCAGTGAAAAGCCCTTTGGGAAGTAATCGGCATCGATTAGCGGGGCAACGCGAGGAGGAAGAGAAGAAGAAGAAGAAGGAGGAGGTCAAGGAACCAAGCGCGCACGGGTAAGTGCGCGACCAAGGAAGGACCGCATCCGGGAGCAGAGAGGACGACGTATAGGAGAATAAACGATAAAATCGTCTTCAGCTGATATTACGCATCAACGGCAAACACGATATGTGGGATAACTCTTCAATGAGTTATCGTTCAGTCGATACGTGTTCGTTATGCATATTCAATTTTAATTGGCCGTTCCAGAGGGTCAAGGAGATGAAACGGCGCGCGGCAGACTGAAGTAGTGGCGCTCTGCGTCTGGAACTGACCTAGAGTGAGTGTGTGAGTGAGTGAGTGCACCGTTAAAACCCTGCAGCACTGTCGCTTACGGCCAGTTTTCGCCGTTAGCTACGGTGATGAACCCTGATTCACCGTAGCTTACAGTGACATTCACCGTTGCTTCCAGTCACATTCACCGTAGTCTACGGTGAAAATTGGCCGTAGCCTACGGTGCTGCAGGGTCGCTGTAGCTTACGGTGACAGTCACCGTAAGCATTTAACAGAGTGAATGAGTGAGGTAGGGAAGGTCCCGGGTGGAAGGATCTGCATTTTGGAATATAGCGATTCACTACACTCGGACCAAATTTGCCTCTGCAGTGTAAATGTACATTGACTACTTTCTGATTGCGGATAATGTAAATTTTGTATTGTAGCTAGTATCTAGTTTAAAACTATCCTTTGACTAGATTCAAAATGCATATGGGTGATATAGTAAACATGTAGTTTAACTATAGTAATCTGTTGTAAAACTACAAATTTTCTGTAGTTTTACAACAGTTGGACTATAGTTTTTTCGCGGGTTGCACAGTTTTACTGCAGTTTAGCGGGTTAGTTTCGAACTACACTTCGAACAACAGTTGGGAAGTACAAACAAAACCTACAGTTGGTCTCACACTTAAAGTGCAGTGTTCAAAACTTCGTTCGAAAAATTTTTGTGCCGGGAATTTCTTCTACTCCTACCTTTCTACCTTCCCCCGCTAACCCCCTCTCATCCGATTAATTGATTATAGCACTCTTACCTTGATGAAAGTTGATGAAGATGATGGGAGTTGAACCTCTGACCTCGGAGTTGGTAGCCCAGTACGATGACCACTGAGCCACTGCGACACCATACCTCTGGTCTCGCAGTAACCCAATGACATGCTAAGCGTTCCGGTCCGACAATTCACAGTCGAACTACAGTCGAACTACAGTCGAACTACAGTCCAGCTACAGTTATGCTACATTTAATCCACCGGTTGCGTAGTTCCTATGCTGCCTAAGATTTACAACCGAATAAATCGCCTCCTGCTAAGTTCACAGGACAAAAGCAGTGTAGTTCACGTGCAAAACGTGCACACCGGCCATTAAATGCATGTATACGTATTCTGCGCGTAATATCTTTATGTAGAAGTATTTTACCACGAGCCAGGGAGGCGTCAAAAGGCATCGTGAGCACGTCCGGCAGTGTGGGAAACTCGTACTCACCCTCCTAAGTAGGTAGCTAGGCCTGGTTTGGGGTATTTCCTTTCGCCGCATTCGGCCCCCCATAATATACTCCCGGCCGGTAGAACGGCACGTGTGCGGGGGGCGGGGCCGAGCGGGGCTTTCCAGGATGTCTTTTACCTGCTAGAGTGATGAGTCGCCTCTACTGCCCGGTCTGTTTACTAAGTGCAATGTTCAGGGGAAAACATACTATGAAGGACTGTTTACTATAAAAGAGACAGCAGTAGTTCTGCAAACTGACCGCACAAATGTACTGTAACAGCCGAGAGCAGTCATAACAATTCTTTTTAACAATATATTTTTTGCATATGGAATGTAACAGGGACTGAATTCACGAAGTACAATTAAAAGAGCGAATCATATTGTCAATTTATCTGCTTTAAAACTACAGCAACAACTCAATGTACCACTTACATTCCGGGGTGCATTCTCAAGTGTAGTTGCCAGAGCAGTAAAAGTGTGTTTTATTTATATTTCTTACTGTTATTTGAGCATGTAGTCGTGATTATAACCAGCATTGCAGTTAAAATACAAACATAACTATAGTTTCGCAACTATAGTTAGGCAACTACAGTTTCGAATGCAGTTTTTCTGTACTCCTTTCCACCCGGGGTGTGAGTGCAAGTGCGTGTCGAGGGTAGAGAAATAGCTATTCTGTCAGCTCGGGGTGGGTTATGACCATGATCGAATACTATATACGGAATACTTACGCCGTCGACCGGAGGGGAAATGGACGCAGACACGCACCCGCGAACCCACACAAAAGATGAGGGTGCACACGCACACGCCAAAGACACCGAAAACGAAATGAGCACAGTTTCCTCCAGCTGCCAGCGTTCTGTCTTCTTCTGTGTCCTCTTGCTGCTGCTGTGGGTAACAAGCAACGGCCACATACGGACAAGGCTTAGGTTAGCTGCGTGGGGTGGGGACGGGCGGTGTGGGTGTAGGGCGGGGCAAACGAAAAAAGAGAGATCTCGTCACGACAACGAACGTGTTTGTTAACGTTGACAAACAACCCAATTTCTTTCTACTCGCAATGAATAGGTTTCTTAGATACAAAATCATCAAAAACACCTCATGTAGTGGTCCCAAGGAACTCATTCGTTGTCCTTAGCCTCATTAAGGTGTTAGCGACACGGGCAAAAATAATCGGTCCTCTCAGTCTTTTTCTTAACAACATGTTCAGTCTGGTGGCGAAATCTTTTTTCCCGTGCAGGGCGGGCCAGGGCGGAACAGGGCGGGACCCTGCGGGGACTCACCTCGGCGAGACGGGCCCGGGCCCCGGACACAGCGCTCAAGTTACATTTTGCCCGGGTGGCTTGCGGGGCAGAGGCGGGGGAAGGGAAGTGCACCACAGTGTGCTAACAGCGCGACTAACAGCCGGCCTCGCCCCGCCCCCACCCCTCCGTCCGCAACGCCCGTAGCAAAGCAGCGCTACCAGACACTGCGATAAGAATAAGCCCCCCAATTACCTGAGTCGCCAGCTCCGTCGTTGCGGGGCACAGCCTCGCTGCTTGTCAAAGCGGCGTCGCCTTCCCCGAGCGCCGCCGTACCTCGGGAGACCATTCCGTTCAGGCTCAAGAAAATTGTCAAGATTTCAGCGCCATCCACCTAAAGATTTGATTGGATGAAAAAAAAAGTTCCGACCAGAAACGGATCGTGAAAGCAGATGATACCTTGTGAAGAATTATTCTATTCCAGTCTATTATATTTCCGTATTTACACTTGTGGGGAAAGGGAGGGGGTAGGTGG